TTGCTGTGTAAAAATGATGTATTCCAATTGAAAAGAAAAACACATTCAAAGTTTCGCATGTTTTGTGTACATTTTCATGTATACAATTAATTATTTCGATCCTTTGTTTCATGGAGATATTCTTAATTCTAAGATACAAAAATATGTTTACTCCGGTGGTTCGACTTGTTTTGTGGTAGATAAAGCAAGAATTGATCCTGCAGTCTTATCTACCAAGGGTAAGCGTAAATTCAAAAGGGTGCCAAGTTTTTGAAATGGAACTTTCATGTATTTTCTTCTACATTGTATTCATTCTTTTCTTAAAGATAGCTGGTGCTCAAGCCTTTGTCACTGAAGCTTCCTCGAAAAAGAAATACACAAAACTACTATGGACAGACCAAGAGACCGCAGCGTCATTCATTTTGACTGGAAGTGGGTTTACCTGTTATTCAGCGTCAGTGGTATCTAACTGTTAATTTCTTTTTTAATGGCCATTCACTTCCACAGTCTAGTTTTGGTTATCACCGTGCGTTCGAGGCACTGTCTTAGCAAAATATTTTCCGGTTTTTCACTTTTTCCCAGTCTCCGCAAGCCGCTGGACCTATTCTGCGGTTTACAGAGCATGAAAATGGCGAAAATGGGCTTTTGAAGCTCTCCATGTTCGCATTCACTAGAAAATACGCGTAAATAGGCGGGATCTGAAACAAGGGGGCGTGGTGCGGAAGACTATGAGAGTTGATTTTACGCTGTACAGACGCTCCTTTTCGCTCTAGACTTCACTGATGGAATAATTAGGGAGTTTGCCATGGCAATGCTGCGGAATCCCACTAGTCATAACTCTTTAGCGCTACGCTGCCTTTAAGCGAATACGATTAAGTCATATTAGTGGAAATATAAGTTCATTTCTCGATCACACTGTATGGATTCAGCATATTCGAACATTTCAATTTAATTCTATGCAACAGGAAAGGGCAAAATTTTCATATCGCATTGTATTGGAAATTGACATAACAGCCACAACCTTATTCCATCATTGCTAGTAGAGACCACTACCTACAGGTGGTACCATTTGCTTATCTCTCTAGCAATCTTGCCTATCTATATGTACATCTATACCACATCTATGTATCAAGTCTCTAATCTTCGCTTGTTAGCCTTTGCTCTAAACTTTGAGAAATTTACATATACTGTATAGTGTAAGGAATAGCATTAAAAATTGCAAATCGTATTTTTTCTTTTTTTACGCTCCAAAGCATCGTCTTAATGATTCAAAAAAGAAAAAAGATTATTTTTACCTATAATAACAGGTTTGAAGAGGAGTGATGTTAAATTACTTTTATTGAAGGCAATTTATGCTTCCGCAGAATCAATGGTTATTAGATAATAATTGATAGATAAACAGCATATCAAAAGTACATCAAATTAGTACTTCATTCACTCTTATAGAAAGGAAAACTTTTGCTCTGAAATTTCCCATTTCTCAATTTGGGAACTGTAATCATTTTTGAAGAGGTGGGTTGAGAGTCCGCTATTTTCAGAATAAATTTTCTGAGACGATCAAATGCAAAACTTTTTAGCAAAAAAAAACATAATCATTGGTGTTGTTGTTGTTTGATCAACAGTTTGTCATATCACACGATACTCGGGGAGAAAAATTGCCCTGCTGTTCTAGATTTGCCAGAATAGTAGGTTTGTTAAATTTGGCGAAAATAGCAGAAGGCGACAGAAAAGTCAAAAAACAGCTCCACTTCTTTATTAACCTATACTTGCACAAAATTTATGCATTATATAAATTATCATATCTTGATTTTTACTGATTTTTATTTTTGTAGTGACGGGTTCGAACATAAATCTCTAAATAAAAAAAAAACAAATAAAAGCAATAAATCGTGAAGATAAGAATTCCAGTTTCTGTTCCGACTTCCTCACACTTCTTTCGTCTCCGTCTTAATCAACCATAGAAACTTCGGCAAATCTTACACTTGGGCAAAATGAGGAAGGGACAGATGGGTATCCATTGGTATCATCTTCATCTTCCTACAATCAACCGCTAATTTTCACTATCTTGTAAAATCCTCCCATTTTTCCATTTATAGATATTAATTTCCTGTAGCGTTAGTGCAAATATGGAGACAATTCAGAGGTTCCTCTTCTCTGGCGCAAATTGGATATTTGCCAAAAATAGAAATACTAAAGAAGCCTTGATTTTTCTTGGGTAATTCATATATATCGAAATATCACATTCTCTGGGTGATTCCAAAGTGTGAAAATTTTTTGAGGATCATGAGAGTTCTTCTCAGTTCCAAAAATTTTCTTTTAGAATTATAGTATGTGTCAGCATACAAGGTGTCCCAAAAATGTGCCTACTGCTTGACTGTTAATAACTCTCTTGTAATGAAGTCTTTCGAGAAGCTTTAGGTTCCATTTTGCAGAGCTGACTTCAACTTAGGCTAAATGTATCAAGTGAATCACCGATCGCTTCTCCTTACTGTAGGCGGTAGAAACTTCACATAGTGTCAATTTGAAAAAGGTGCCGTAAAAAATTTCAAAAAAAGTGAAGACTTGTCTGATAGGATTTTTAGGACGCTGAGTTCAATACTCAATCATGTGCAAGACTCCGAAGCTTTCTAAACGTTGTAACTACACTTTTCAGAAACATTGAAAAACGACCGCTTGCTTACCTCGCATAACCTATTAATGAAGCCTTATGATAAATTGCGAACTTGACGCTTAGAATCAGTAACTATAATTAGCCCAGTGTGAGGGTTTTCAGATGTTTTTGTTTCCTTTTTGAGGAAAAATATGGCTTTACATAGCTCAGAACCCTCTTCAAGTTTCTACCGTGATCCTACAGTAACGGAGAGTAGCGCAGTCGATTATCCGTTCCATATCGCCAATCTAATTGTAAGCTTGAAGCCAGCTCTACAAAATGGTACCAGAAGCTTCTCGAGAAACTTCATCACAAGAGAGTTATTAACAATCAAACAGTAAGCACAATTTTTTGGAACACCCTGCACATCAAACAATTAACCGCTTGTCTAAACAGATCTTGCAAATCTTCAAGTATCATATTCTAAGACTAGCTTCGACTTAACTTCACTTTGAAATTAAATCAACGATCTCTCGGTTCAATGTAGAACTGCCGTAAAAAAAATTCTGATAGAATTTGCGTTAATGAAGCATATATTACACTAGATGTTGTTCTAAAGGGCTGGAAACTTTGTTACCAGGTTAATCACCATTGCTGGTTTCACAATATGAACTTTTCGCTTTACCATAGTCTTTCGTTTAGAAGTTACGATTGGCATATCGTGACAGCGGTTTCTAAAATAATCATGAAAAGTCTGATTTTACCATTCTACCATGCTCTGAAAACATTTACAAAGTTAACTAAAATCAGTGTAACCAAAAACCTTCCAAAAAGCTTTTGGAACATTATTTCTGATTTGACACTGGTTTGCAGTGACGACATTCGTATATGAATAAAACCCAATGTCTATAAGGTTCCGGTTTATTTGTCTGCATTTTATAGAAATGCCAGCCGTTTAACCAGTTGAGCTGAGACTTTGCACACATGTGTATTCGACCCTGCGTAGATTATAGGCTACTTTGCGATTTTCTGTGCCCATCTACTGATTTATTGATTTGTTTACTCAAATCTGGGAAAATCACAGTTCAACCTGCTCTGAAAAATCATTTTTCCGATAAACATATAAGCAGGGGCGGTAATGCGCATTCTAATTTCAAGGTCGGCAGAATGTGGCAGTTCGTCTCAACGCGCTTTTCGCACATGGTAGAAGAAATTCAAAAGTGTAAGTAAAAATTTTGGTCATCGGATGAGACGTGGACCACCAGCTAGTAGTACCCTATTTTCAGGTGTATAAGCCGCACCCTTTTTGCTCTAAACGCGAGCAGACCCAGGCGTGCCGCCGCGCATATGTCTCGCGAAGCGGTCGCCTTATCGCATACTGCTCTCACTTAAAGGCAGCGTCCAGGCAGATTCCCGACTTCTATATTTTTATGTTATCCAGGCCTTTCCATGGCGCTGATTCCGAATGTGGAACTCAAAAAGTGTGAATTTCTCAGAAAACCACCTTTTGGGGCTATTTTGGGAAAACTCGGACGAGTGCTTCTGATGTTATCCTTGTCGAAAGCAAGTATTAACAGGTAAATGCTGTAAGTTCGACTGTATTGGTTATGTGAAAACACGTCAAGGCTGAGGAGATTTGGCCGTCCGAGGGAAGTGGGCGTGGTCGTCGAGCTCGGATCTGCCTGGACGCTGCCTTTAACGCGCTCCATGACGGCAGTCAGTCTTTTGGCGTGTTGGCCTTTAGAGCGAATAGGGTGCGGCTTATACACCTCGAAATAGGGTACTGTAAGTTCCTACCATTTCAATAGTAGAAAAGCGACGGGCGGCTTCTATTGTACTGTGAACCTATGTTAGAGCCCTTACAATGTGCTGCCGAAAAACTCGCCAAGCTGCGAAAAGAAGAGAGTCAATATTGATCAAACGTTCGTTTTTTGGGACACGTATTTTGTGCTTATCTAGATGTCATGTACCATCACTATGTGCTCATGTGCATGTGAATCAAACGTTCGATGAAGGTAAACACCCGCCGGGGGTGTTTACTTTCATCGAATGCCGGGTTCATGTTTACGGTTGCGTTACCTGAGAGATCAGCGCGAAGGTCACGCGCGCGAGGCAGCTTGCGCGTGCCGTGGCAATCTCGCTTGCGGCACGGAACCAGTTATTTCTCGAGTTTAAGCCAAGCGAAAACGTCAAGCAATGCCTCAAACCGGGTCGCCTCGACCCCGAACAACTGTCGTGCACCCCGCCAGTTCTGCCATGTAACTCCATATCACTACCGCCTCTTGATTTTCTTTGCCTGGGAGTTGTTTCTCCCACATCGCGCTTTGTCAGTAAAGTACGAGCCCTGAGTGGGTAAAAGTACATATTACTCACTCTTTTCTCTCTCGGCGCAACTGCGTGCACAAAACCAAAATCGATCTAAACTTCTATTTTCCAGATGGATTTGCTATTCTTTTTGTTCCGAGAGCTTCAGTCGGCAGCTACCCTACTTCCCATTCTCGGTCTCTTTATCATCAGATCATACATATTACCTACAGATGCAGTGAACTCATGCGTAGATACTGATAAGGATGTATGTGAGTAAATTTAGGCATTTATTCAATAATTTTTTCCAATAGTACTAAAAATTCTTGTGAAAGATTCTTGTCTAATCAAGTTTTTGCAACGATTAATTTTCCACTTGTTTTTCGATGCTAAATCTGTCTAAAACCTGCTCATTGGTATCTCAGAGCTTGTTTCATTCATTTTACATACGTGAGTGATTAAGTATGAAACGCTACATTCAATTTCTGACTCCCAGTATGAAAAGTATTTTATCTGCTAATCAAAGTTGTGGGTCAGGACTGTCGTGATTGCTGCCATAGATTTAAGATGCAGAAGTTTTTTTGATACTGTCTCTATGAACGCTTATCATTTCCTGTTATCTCAAAGATTTACGTAAGCTTGATCATATTAGGCAGAAAAATCATTTTTTTATAAATGTTTTGTCCGTGCTCTACTTAAAGTATTTTTCTGAGATGGCAGCAAGAACGAGATCACTCTAGCTTTTCAATTTGTGTAAAGCTGGCCAAAAATCTGAGAGATTTGCAAAAAAAATTCAGAGCAGTCAGTAAAGGTTTTTGGACCATCTCCCATCAGTAAAATGACTGACTGACGTGTCTAAAAGCTATAGCTTTCAATAAAAAAAGGTTAGAAAATTTGCCCTTTTCTATCCCCTTACCCGACATGGCTCTTTACAGAGGCGTTTGCTCAGCACATATTTTGCTCACTGCAAGAGCTAGGTCATAAAACTCTAACAGTGACTGCTCCAAATTTTATTGCAAGCTTCAGATTTTTAGCCACCCATCATAAATGATCGCAGCTGGAATGGTTTTTTCCTTCTGCTTCTACCTCAAAAATCACCATTTTCTAGAACGCACATAAATTTTATCACTATTAGGAGACGTTTAAAAGGCTTGCAGAAAGCACATAATTTCTATATCCGATAAATCTTGAGATAGCAAAAAGCTTGATTTTTAAAACTTGTGCGACAGAACTTCTGCACTAGTCTAATATTATCTCAAAGAATAACTTGCCTAGAGGGCCCATTTAAATCACTTCCCAGTCTCCATCGGGAAAGGAAATTTCATTTTGATGACTTGGATCAATCTACAAAATTATAAAAATCTTCGAGATTAGTAGTTCCAAACAATCTTGAATTTTTTTTCAAAAAGGCTCAAAAATTTGCCAAGTAAAATGACGAAAAGTGTTTATCGCAACAACAATTCTGATGAAGAGCATAAAAAAACTGCTCTTTGCGCGCAAAGTTGCAAAATTTGTTGTCTATCGTCACAATATTTACGTCTTAGATTGTGTCCACGAAAAGCACGAATTTGTAACTCATTTCCACTCTATATGAAAACCTCAGTTGTGTGCTTCTAGGGGAACCACAAATTTGGATGCAAAGCATGGTTAGTTTCGACAATGCGATCAGCTTTTCACCACAATTACGACTCAAATACACGCTACACAGCGCCATAAAGATTTTATAATTACGGTTTCATTCTGTCTAGAAACAACAAAGTATTGCTTACAGTCTATGTTGATTACGTACTCCTTTTCGCATAGGAGCTACGCATGAGCAGCGCGAGAGCCTTGCGTGCGAACCTCCAATCGATGAGGCCAATTTAAAGGCACCGTCCACCCAAAATTTCGACCTCCATGTCTTTGCCGTTCCAGGGCCTTCTCATATCCCTGATTCCGAATATTAAGTTGAAAATCCGCAAAAACCACGAAGAACTCCCGTTTTCAGAACCCGCAGAGCAATTTCTTCGGTACTGTGATTGGTTGGGCGCGCACGGATGGGCGAGACGAACGTCACGCCCACTCCGAAAGGGGAGGAGCCAGCGTCGCGAACGCGGCCTGAAGCGATTTCCGAAGCAATTTTCTCGATTCGGAAGCAACTTCAGGCAGCGCGAGTTGGGCAATCATATAGTTGAGGGCCCCGCATCTGCTAGGTATCATAATCTCACCAACCCCAATTTGGGTGGACGGTGCCTTTAAAAGAGCAAGCCATACGCGCGCCAACGTGGCGCGAAGCTCTGGAGTGTCGACGCTCTTACGAAAGAGTGAGCACCTGATTAACACAGACTGTAATGCGCAACCGAGTGAAAATAAATTTGACTGTCACCACAGAATCAACAGAGCTTTCGGAAATGTGGTAATATTGAGAAACAATAGGCAGAGTAACACAGAATGTAAGATAGTGTTGTAGCTTAGGCGGTAGCTGTGACTCTTGGTTCATTTCCTCACATCTCCTAACAAACGAAGACTTTGCTACGTTTAACATTGATCTCGGTATCTTGGTAGTTTTGTGATATGCGCTCTTCCTGTAAGCTCAACTTATATATGAAGCAGCGGCGTACCTAGGATTTCCGTTCGCGGGGAAGGGGGGGATCACTCCGAAAATTTTTTTGGGATGCTTCCCAAAATTTTTCCGGGTCCCTGAGCTGAAAATTTCAGAAAAATTCAAATTAGCTTTGTAAAAAAATTTTTTCGGGGGCGGCATTCGTCCTTCTTTTTATGCCAATACATGACATTTCAGTGTCCAATGTGGGTCTCTAAAGCTGCAAGAGGATGCGATGACTGGCTGAAGCTCAACTGCCCTCTGAGCTGCTCAGTAAGTGTCATTGTTAATTCGTCATGAGCTTTCCTATCTCTCAATCTTTTTAGATTTGTAGACCAACTCCTGACAAACCTCTTCCACGAACGATCTCCTCTCTGCTTAACGCTAGCACAACAACATGTACCGATCGCCATTCTCATTGCTCATATTGGGCTAATACGAGGCAGTGCACTATAAATCCAAAATTCATGTTAGCGGAGTGTTGTAAACAGTGCACCTTAATTACGAGACACCACATTCAAGCTAGATTTTCATAGCTTTTCATGAATCAAATAAATGAATAGATACAGGCATAGCCCGTATTTAAGCAGAACGAATCTAATTGTGCCAACGGGGTTGTGATGTATGCTCATAGGAGATGCAATAAATTTCCTTATATTGTGTGAAATTCACTTGAGAAAGCATTAGAAGTTGTAACATCCACCCCGTTCCCAATGCTTTGAGCGCTATTGCGCGTTGGTTACACAAATTCTACAGTCTGCCCCAATCGGGATCAGGGCCCGGCAGGAGGTGGCATTTCAGAATTTTGAAAACGATATCCCCTTTGAAGCCAAAATTTCTTACGACTTCCCCTTTGACCCTATTTTTGACCCCCGTACGTCCCTGACAAACAGATATAACAGATAATAAGATGGGCGGCCTCAGCGCTTATTATAGTAGTACTACCTGGCTTTCCTGGTCCAGCCCGGGTCATCAAGGTTTCAGCTCAATGGGTTCATCCGCAAAGGAATCTATAAAAAAACATAGGGTCAAGATTTGCACAAACTTTGACGTTTATATATCTAAGATACTACTCATTTATTAGTCAGCTGCGAAACTTTACAATTTACAATAACCGATTGCGATTGGAGCGCGCTTTCCGAGGCCGATCATAACGCTGTGAACCCTATTTGGGGCTGTATCGAAGCGGTGCCTTGGTGGTTTTGGAAGCGGATTTGAATATATAGTAATACTCTCGACCTAGTCCACATTTATGTTAAGAAATCCGGGAAATTATGTGAAGGGAAGCAGGGAGCCACCCCAGGTTGCTCCCAGGTGGCGCGGGAGCCACCTAATTTCGAAAAACACTTACCATTTTTTAAATTCACATAAGGCCACCCCCGCCGGGCCCTGATCGGGACCAGGCCGAATCGTTGGCTTAGTTTGCGCGCTCGCAGCGCTAAGGGTTTGCGCTGCACACGCGCGCTGTCGCGGAGAGCGTATAGATCGAGAGGGAGCGGAGTAGCTAGCCGGTGACGTGGCGCAATAACTTGCGGCACGGATTTTCGCCATGCCAATTTTGGCTGGTTGGGAGCAGTACGCAGTAGTACGCACCTCGTTATCATAGAGCATCCTGGGTACAGTGCGTTTCGCGCGACCGCGACGCGACCGACCGATGCTTTTCGCAGAGGAGTACCACCGAGTGCGATTCCTGCGACTCCCGTGATTCCCGCACAGTTTAAACGCCGCTTAAATGAGCGCGTGTTGCGTAAAACAACACGTAATAACACGCAACATGCGCTCATTTAAGCGGCGTATAAACTGTGCGGGAATCACGACGTGTTGAGACAAGTCATCAGAGTGGCGTGAGACCTCCCAAGACTTTTTTAGTCTCGTCTCCTAGTTCTATTTTACTAAGTTGGCTAAAAATAAGTTCGATCGTTCTCAACAGTTTGTAGAAATTTCACAAATCAATTTATGTAAGAATGTTTAAACCATTGGAAATAGCAAATCAAGAAGAATAAGGTGGAACGCTGTGTGAGCGCAAATCATCCTTTTGACGATGAATTCGTGCAGGAATGTATTTAGATTTTTTCAAAATGAGTTTTCGAAATATCATGCCCCGAAAAATGAACTGAAGTTGGTGTGAATTGCAAATTTGGCATCTACACAACAGATCCCGGAATTTCCAACAGTTTGCACGATAGGTAGTCAAACCTAAGGATCCGGGTTGCCCAAAAACTGACTTCCATGCGCAAGTGCCTAGAACTCTGTTTTTGGCTACACAAATTCCCCAACAACAGATCACAATCTCCATTTGGTTCGCCATTTAGCCAAAGGTTGTATATATCTAGCGACCGAATTATTCATCTGTGCACTCAGTATAGGCTAAGAACGAAAGTCAACACGTTGACGACCTTGTGCATACGCGCGCATGCACGCCCTGAGTACCCTTCGGCAATTTCGGCATCAATTTTTCATATGTAAACGAAATGTTCCAAGGTGATTTCTATGCGGTAGTAATACTAGTGGTCTGGTTGTCATATAGGACACAGGGCATCGCGGTAGCTGGCTAGGTGTCTGAACCGCAGGTTTAGATATTCAGTCCACTTTAATGTGGTCCAAAATGGTTCGGTCGTCAGCGTGTTAAAAATCAAAAAGGCGAAGGGATCTTTAAGAAGTCTAGCCATTTAAGGGCGTAATTGATAATTAACGACGGAAAATCGCGGTTATTTGGTATGTGATAGTAGAGGCTCGAAGCTACCTCTCTGCATAAAAGTCTCTGCTGAATATACGCTAGCCGAATTGTTATAGAATGTGGAAGTAGCATGTCAGGCCGAACTTAATTATTAGCCAGTTTGATAGTTACATAACTATAGTCTAGTCTTAGTTTACTAAGCTTTGGACCAAAGATATCAGTATTCAATAGTCCAGACGTAAGCATACAGTTGAGCAGCGATAGTTCGATCAGTACCAAATATCATTAAACGAGTATATCGGTAAACCAAGATTAGATTGAGGGAGCTCAATATTACGCCCGTAAAACTCCTGGAAGTGTATCCGCTATCGCGGCTGAGCTTTGTCAAACAGTGTGCTATTTCACTTGTCGAGTTTATGTTGCCATATTAAGCTCTAATTATGTTGAGCACCACATAATAATACCACAGTACCTTTCCATAAAAATAAAGGCGTTTGAATCTCTGCCCACTCCCCTTCCCTTCATAAAGCGTGAAGGTTGTTTATAAAAAATAGAAAGGTAAAAAAAGATGCTAAACAAATAGCGAAAAAAGAAGAAACTTTTGAGAACATGATAAAAACGCTGTAGTAGGTTCAAGAGAGTGGGGGAACGAAAGCCGCCAGTATGAGTCGTGTCAACTCCAGGAGGTGCACTCTCCTGACTTGAATCCTTCACCCTGATTGTCTTACTTTATATGAACACTAGCTGGCTTGCCCGGCTCCGCCGGGCCTGCCAGCTAGACCCGTGTACGTATGTTCCGAATAGAAATTTTTATCTCTGAACCGATTGGGACCGAACTTTGCACACATACACTTCGGGGCAGGGAGCGTGTCACAGCCCACTTTTCGTTATCGATCGATGTCGATTTTACCGATTTTTTGCAAAATTTGAGCTAGGGGGCTAGGATTTTGCACAGGGGGGTAATCGAGCATGCTGATCACCCCTTCGGGGTGATCAGCATGCTCGATTACCCCCCTCTGCCAAATCCCAGCCCTCTAGCTCGAATTTTGCAAAAAATCAATAAAATCGATATCGATCGATAACGAAAAGTAGCCTATGACACGCTCCCTGCCCTGAAGTATATGTGTGCCAAGTTTGGTCCCAATCGGTTCAGAAATAAAAATTTGTATTCGGAACATACGTACATACATACAGACAGACAGACATACAGACAGACATACAGACAGACAGACAAACAGACATTCAGCTTTATATATAAGATAACATTTTTGACTAGAATCTTTATTTTATATTTACAAGATAAGTAAAGGGGAAGGGTAAGCGCCGGTCACCCGGTTAGGCAGCTCATCTGGAGTTGCTGGGCTCCGCCCAATTGGCGTGGGGACTGTCGGACCATCTATTTAGTCTGCGTCTCGACATGTCCATTCCATAGTAAAGCTCGTCCCGAGCTTTCATCTTCGACCATGGCTTAGGAGTGGGGATATTGTCGTCATCAAAGCTGCCCATGTACCATTTGTTTCATCACTGTTTCGTTTGAGAGCAGGAGAGTGCTGCTGCTACCATTATCGTCATCAAGGTTGCCCATTTACCATTTGTTGCCACTAATTGCGGGCAGGAAAAGTGCTATTGATCGCATCATTGCTCAGTCGCTTGATTCCTCTTCGAATGCATGTGGGGGAAAAGGGCTCATAGAAAAAAAAACGGCTTTCGCACGCCCTGTCAAAAGAAAAGCTCGTCTCGAGCTGAAGAGTAAGCAGAGCAAAATAAGCTTACAAATTGGATATTTATCAAAGGATAAGGCTCCCGCAACTGTTCCGAAAGGTGGATCAGAGCGATTATGATATCAATACAGCGTAGATGGGTGGGCTCTATCCGAGTTGAGGGAACGAGCATTGCAATGATGGTAAGGATAACGATATGTAGGAACGGTATAGCTTAGAAGGCGAATTTGGATATGTTCAAATGTTTTGATATGTTGTGGCGGGGTTGGCGTGAATATCGAAGAAATAAATATACATGAGAAGAATGCAGACAACATTTTTAAATGAAAATCAAATCGCTAATGTGACAGAATGTTCAAAATTTTGAGATTTTGAAGATTCGCCTTACAGCATTCAGAAAAAAAATCAAGGGAACAAAAACATGAAGTTTTCGGAATCTATCATGTGGGCAACTCAAGAGGAAACACTTCCCTAACGTTGCGCACAAGGGCGTGAGGTAAAATTTTGAATGACTGAAAGGCTTCTCCGAGTCGCCTATCGGAGAAGTCTTTCTTGTTATAGTGCAAACGCTTGCGGCAAACTTACTCTGCCAGTAGCCGCTGCATATGTGGAATTAATGTGAGTTTACTACTGGCACTCAAAATATCCAGTCCTTTCAGACGCTCTGAACATCTGATAGCAAAAACAATTGCAATACAAAGGTGAACACAGTTGCAATGGGGCATATGCATAGTTTCTGTCTTTCTTAGATGCTCTGAACATCTGAGTGTGGACTGAAACTCGATCAGGATGCGAATAATAATAGCGGTGAATACACTCGAAATGGGAACACTGACGACATGTAGGCGAAAATAAACAAGGATTTTAATGGAGCAGTTATTTGGAGATATCAAGTAGGAATCGAACTCTCTTCGGGTGGTTGTTTACTTCTTAGTCTTGCTTCCGCTTACCTGAAAGTCTGTCGCGAACGTACTAGATGTTTCGCAAAGAGAAAGATAAAATTACTGGAATCGTCTCAAAAAGCATTCATCATTTTGATGGACTGTCAACCGGAAAAGTGCGAGCGAAAATTATGCTGTTTGTTTAAGATCAGCAATTAAAGAAAGTTTTTTTTAATCTACGGCCAATTTCAGTTGATTTCACAAACATATGCAAACGTGGTGCGAGTTGACTTTTTCTCGGCATCCGTTCTATTCTGAGAGGAGCTTTTTTCCCTTC